CATCCACTTTTAATATTTGACAACCCTATTTTAGTATAACTGTGTACTTAAGCATAGGTCAACACAACTTTTATTGAGCTGAAACAGTTTATATCGACTACACTAAAGTGACAGGTGTTAATGGTACTTCGTTAAAGTTGATAATATTAACCACAACTTTTACTACAGTTAATAGTGAGCTTAATTAAGATACTAAATAAAATGTTAATTTAAAAGAAATCAGAGCTGATAAGTAATTGATATCTAGTTTCCTGGTTTTTGAATAAACGACTACAGTAAAAACTGGAACAGATATTTTACGTATTGATAGTCTCATAAATCTAGGTTTGTAACATCTTCAGGTACTACACCAATATCCCAAATAATTGATCCTATTATAGGTATTATATTTAACAATTTATGTTTACGTTCTTATTATAACATTATAGAAATTAACATGTTTGACTGTATGTATGGAGAACAGTTGTGTTAAATGATAAGTAGGCAATAAATATTAATTGAAGCGATCATTTTAAAATTCACGATCCCGATTTTATTGCTATTTTATAACTTCAATTCATCTTTTGCGATTTTTTGTTTTGTATATCTTTTTAAGATAATTTATTTAATATTTGTAACAATTCTAATTAAAGATACCAAATTTAAGAAAAAGAAATTATCATATTGGCATTTTCGTGACTTATAGGATTCAGAATTGATTAACGCAAACGAGTATCATCATCATGAGCCTATTAATGTCCCCACTGCTGGGGCACAGGCATTTCTTATGGATGGAATAGGGAGATGGAATAAGTTTAATTGCAAGACAGTTTCTTGGACCCTAGACATTTATGATGTGTATCTATGTATATTTAAGTGATTTTATGAGTAAGTAAGTTGATCATACTTATTACGCGAAACGATGACACCATCCTCACGCACCGCAGTAATTGTGTCTTCTACTAAATTCTCATTTCCGAAACATCTCAATTTACGAGTTTAAACGAATGTTTGGCGTTTTTTAAACATTTTTTTTTTATATCTGGTACATAGGTAATGCATGGCATTGTTCTAAATTAGACAGTCCAACTATGTCCGTTGTTAGTTTTATATATTACAAATATAAAACTAACAACGGGACTTAATGAAAATGATATAAAAAAATTCATACATTAAAAAAATACAATTACAATTAAAATGATATGTTAATGTGCAATGTTTTAAGAGAGGTTAAACGTGTCTACTCATCCATTGAAAATTCGGCGTTATCCAAGCCATCAGACTTACAAATATAAAACTAACAACGGGACTTAATGACAATAATATAAAAAAATTCATACATTAAAAAAATACAATTACAATTAAAATGATATGTTAATGTTCAATGTTTTAAGAGAGGTTAAACGTGTCTACTCATCCATTGAAAATTCGGCGTTATCCAAGCCATATTCTTTTTCATCAATTTTTAATAAGTATGAGCGGTGTAATTCCGAGTAACTGTTACGCTGTTCTTTCGTAAATTAGCCCTTGGTACTGCGTGATCACTGAAATTTCACTTCATTAATCACATTTAACAACGGAACTCATTATGGCAACATTTGTAATTGTCAATTTTGGCAGTGTTACTCAGTGACATGAAGCTGATTGCGCTGTCAATGATAACCTTGTTAAATTTGATGTAAGGGTCATTTTGCACTGTCCCACTTGTGGTGTCGGTGTCACAGATGCAGTAGACTTGCTAATTACCGGCTTATCATCAATCATCTCGATGAATGGGAAGGGTGCAAGCACAAAGGAGATGACGACGCCACTTCTGAAAGTGCAACGTGAATGCGATCTTATGTGTGATAGTCTTAGGTCTTAAATTGTGGATTGCTGCAAATCAATTAGGTTTAGTGTTATATGATCCTTGCCGGTTTTTTGTGAAAGGCCAATCGTTTTTGTCTTTTATTGTTATAGCAACATTTATATAATTTAAGAGTTATACTTATGTACAATTTTATATTAGTTGATTAATAATATTATAATGGTTAATGGGATACCTATTATTGGTTAAAGAAAACCCAAACAAACTTTAACAAGGTACGGACTTACGGATAAAGTGTCAAAAATCCATCTAATTCGATTCATTTGTGCTGACTGGTGCTATTCATGAATGGTGAAATGTAGTCAACATAAATAGTAACTAGAATAAACTATCTATCTATATATATAAAACTCAAAGGTGACTGACTGACATAGTGATCTATCAACGCGCAGCCCAAACCACTTGACGGATCGGGCTGAAATTTGGCATGCAGGTAGATGTTATGACGTAGGCATCCGCTAAGAAAGGATTTTGATCAATTCTACCCCCAACGGGATAAAATAGGGAATGAAAGTTTGTATGAAACTTTGTCAATTTTAAACCGATCGGGCTGTGACTTTGCATGCAGCTATAAGAAGAATCATAGATGAATGTCATTGTGTATAATACAAGCCTGTGAACAAAAACTGTAGTCTACACTTCAGCTCTACACCGAAGCGAAGCGAGGGCGGGCCGCTAGTATTTTATATTTTGATTATTTTATCGCTGGCGCATGCTTATGTAATAAATAGAGAAGAATATGCCCTTATTTCATTGTAATGGTGATATTTTAAATTTTGTGGATAATACTTGAAACTTGTAATTATTAAATCAAAGGGCTCATAAGTGTGTGGATCTTATAGCAATAAGAGTTCTAATTTACTCTTATACTAGCGGCGCCCCGCGACTCCGTTCGCGTTAATGATATAGTTTTTTGAGAATCCCCATGGAACCGAACATTTTTCGGAATGAAAAGTATCCTATGTCTCAATCCAGGTAATAACTATATGTGTTCCATATTTTATCGAAATCCGTTCAGCAGTTATTGCGTGATTGAGTAACAAACAAACAAAATCACTTTCGCATTTATAATATTAGATAGGAAGTAATGATTGTTATTTTCAATGGCATGGCATGTGAATGTGACTGTAAAGATACTTTCGATACGTCTACGTGTTACTTGTTATGATCAAAATGATTTCAATATTCCAGACAGGTTTGATTGAACTGTTATTGACCTACACGATCTGTAAACTTTGCTTGTGAAATTCTGTACTGTTACTGTAGCATCCCTCTCATTTTAGGGTTCCGTACCTCAATCGACAAAAGCGGAACCCTTATAGGATTACTCGGTTGTCTGTCTGTCACAATCGATTAGCTACTGCACCTATGAAGTTGAAATTAGGTACATACATGTATGTCCGTGACTCAGACACGGACGAATAAAGTAAATAAATAAATTCTGAATATATGGGGTTTACTTTTGGGGGATGAATTTAAAAATTAAAAATTAGCTTACTATAGCGTATTATAGGTATCAAGTCAAAGGATTGGGCCGCGAAAATTTCAAATATATTATTTTACAAATGTAAAATGTATTGCTTAAAAATGATTGACGAAATGAATTAAAATTAACCTGCCCCCTCTTCTTGTCGTCGAAACTGCTGTGTCTAAAAATTAGAAAAATTAGAGGTTTTTTTAACCTTTTTTTTTAATATCGTTCCAATGGCATCCTACTCTATTAGGTAGAAGATAAAAAAATCATTCCTATGTTGAGTTGATGTATTTACCCTAAAAATATATTTTCGAAGTATTGTAACTTGTCTATGAACATTTTGTATATCCATGTAAGTACAGGTTTCTAGTACTAGCTCTATGAGCTAAGCTTCACACAGATAAGCAGACGGATATGGCAAAACTATAGGGGTTATCTGTCGACTGTTAATTAACAATGAAATTTAAGTACAATAATATAATTAATATACTTACTTAATTATCTTCTTATTATTACTTAATTCTTAAGTACAATAATATACTTACTTAATAATTATAAAAGTCTTTCGAAGGTAGCTCGACAAATTAAATAAAAGTTTTATTCTGACGACGTAGCCTGTAAAGGCTACGAAACGTCAATAAATAAATAAAGTTTTCGTGCATTAACCCGTAAAAACTAGTTTTATTTAATAATTATCCATTTATTTGATTTAGTACTTTACACCTAATAGTTTTAATATTCAATCATCGAATTATTCAGGCGAATCTATCTTGTTTTTATTAGTAACAAGAAAAAAGGTACAAACTGAATCTTACAAGTTCTTCCAAATACGTACGTAATCGATAAATGGGCTAGTTATTACCAGGTTAATGTATGCTCAGTATGTATATAAAAAGGTGAAAAAATGGAATACGCATTAGGAGGAGGAAAATGTTGGTTTGACAATTTTTTTTTTATTGTTACTTGCTATATTTATAATTAGAGATAAATTAGCAAAACGTTTACCTACGCCATAATACTTAGTTTGTTTCCAATTTTCAATTTTTTGAACCCTGGCCGGTCTTAGTGCAAACATCCGAGCTCTTGCCTAACTAAGGCTTCAATTGACATTAAAGTCAAATTGAAATGCAAACAGCAAAACTCAGCTACTGGAGTTTGGTCAATCGACCGTGACAAATTGTCATTTTAGCGGCTCCTATCGAAGTGGTTCTAAATACGTGTGTGCTTAGGTCTACGTTGGAATGTTTGGACGGTAAACGTTCCACGGTCGAGAGGAGGTGTAGGTGGTAGGGTGCCGGTGGGTGTGATAATTCGTCTTGCATACACATAGAGTGCGTGAGAGTGATATTGCTCCCGAAACGTTGGTTTAAAAATTATGGGCGTGGGAGAGGTGAAAGGTTACGCTCTTGGGATGCCGCTGATGCTAGATAGTCTTTCAGAAAATGACATAATGTTAAGTTATGTAATACATCGTATTGATAGTTAAACCATTGACAATTGTATTGTACAATTTGCACTATAAATTCTCTGTACTTAATCTTTAATTTTAGAAAACTATCGTATTTACCATTATTTAACTCAGTGATTTCACAATTTACGTTCGGCGTACGTAGATGTTCTTTCGGATAATAAAATGTTTTTTTTTTTTGATAAATGACTTAATTTAGTTTTTTTTTACAGGCATACGAGCTGTCTACGTTGACGGGTACACAAGTGATGTTACTGGTTGCATCGGAAACTGGTCACGTGTACACATTCGCCACGCGGAAACTACAGCCGATGATCACGTCCGACGCGGGAAAACGGCTCATACAGACGTGCCTCAACTCTCCGGACCCGCCCACTACCAGCGAGCAACGCATGGCGGCCACCGGCTTCGAGGAAACGGAGCTCACCTATAACGTAGTTGACGAGGACATGAAGGTGAGGCAATTGGCGTACGCGAGTTCCGCGCAGTATCCCATAGAACATCACCCGGGGCTAGCTCCGTCGCCGCTGCAACAATATCACCAACATCCCCCATGTCCCTCGCCGCTGCCTCTCAGCTCCCTAGGGCAGCCGTATTCACACGCGCACTTATCCCATCCCCACATGTCCCATCACCCTCAACGGTAGTTCCGATGGCACTAGATTAAACTTCTCTCTGTATCGAATATCGATCACTCCTTCCCTGGAGAATTCGACTGGATTATCGAGATAGTCACGTTCTAGTTTAGGGTACTTGTCTTAGTCTACAAACGTGGTTGGTTTTAATGTAACACTGAACATGATATAGTTAAATTTGAACAACCCGAATACGTTTTTAGATAAATGAACGAGTAGTTAATTAAGAGATAATCTATTTTGTTGATACATATGTAAATAGACGAGGAATATTATTTCAAGTGCCGCATCCTGATTTCCGAGGATTAATTAGTCACGTTGAGAACTATCGAGTATGCATTTGTGTTTTCTTGTTAACTTATTTTTCTAACTAATTGTTTTAGATTCAGCGTAGCGCGGAAGTTTTTTATTATTTTCATGTTAAAGTTCTATAAAGATAATCATAACATAGCACCGTTAGACAAAACGAAGAGAAATTCAAGAGTATCTCATCCGTTTGCTCGCTCATCCACAACGTAGAATCAATTTAAATATGATATTTTAATTAATCATCCAACCTAAGAATTCTATCAATGAAATTGATGATCAGCATAAAGCCGTCGAATCCGATGAAGGAACATTCGGTAGCAAAATAATCAGATGTAAAATTGGTTTATAATTAACGCTAGGAACCGGTTGCGACTGTTTAGAGTGACGCCTCGGAAGTGGGAGCGGTCGCGCTTGCTACTGATTCATTATGATCAATGAATCGGCCTTTCATCCCGCTTCTCTAAGGAGAACGTATACGAATCGTAGCTTTAATAATGGCATTATCTCCAAATTGTAGGAAGTCCGTAATATTCTATTTATATTGTTGTTTTTCATATTCTGATTAAAATTGAGGCTGCTAACATTATATCAAAGGTGCAGGGTTTGTTTTTAAAATAATGCTAAGTCTGTACTTTAATAGAGGCAAGTTTTAAATACCTATTAGACAGTTTCCAATTATCATGGGAGCGAGCGCTGTCGCCTCGGGTCCTAAGTCCTCGGCCGGCTCCGCGTGATCCGGATTATTAAGAAACTTAATTGAAAATTACTTTCGGAGTTACGGAGGCCGACTATTATAAATTCTCCTGTCAATTCCGACGAACGCGCCGTACTCTAAGTAAAACTAATAAGTGTAACGCAGAAGCTTTCACATCTCAATTTACAATTACTATTAACAACTTCATGAAGAGATGTAATTTATTTGAATTCTATTTTAAACACTATAATCTCCCGTTTTGTTTGTGTACCTGCGCTCACGCGAACAGTTAATCAATGAAACTTACAACCGAACACGCCGAATATGGAAAGTTCGACGTATCGATTCATTGAGCCGCTCAAATTCGATTCGATTCATCCATTAAGCACCGAGCACACCTTGCGTTGCTAATCGGACACTATTTATTCATCGATTTGTACCCAGTAGCTGCTCTCGCTGCTGTCGCATCGATTGCACCGAACGATTAATTCTCACTTCTCATTTGCATATCGTTTTAATTTTGAACTCATCCGGTGCCCACTGTGTTTCGCTCCCGACCCCGAACGCCCTGTTGTCAGTTTTGTGTGATATGTAGAAACGATTGCATCGATTCCTCCGTTTTGCATTCACTTCGATAAAAATCTCCATACCTCAGGTCGGTCGATCTTACCTCGACAGAGTTTGACGCACGGAAATAATACGTCGACGCCGATATCGATCATTATTGTTCACGCATCATCGATAAGTTGATCCGATTGAAATATTCTCTCGTTAATAATGATTTGAAACGATAAAAGCGTACTGTGATCATCATCAATTTCTACTGTAAATAGTTTATAGTTCAATTATTATGTATGCTTTATATCTCATCTTATTGCTGGGGAGCGACCGTAATCGTTGGTAAAAACTTTCAAAAGCGGCACTGTTTTATTTTCCTAGGAATAGTTTCACCTGTCATAGCCGGTCGGTCGTTTACATAAATATAAATCTTTACGTATTCGCCGCGTGTAATGTCGTTCTTTTGGTGCGTCTGTTTTATGAATATAAACTGCAGACGACCAGCGAGTGTTTGGCATAACACCACTTTGTAGGATGCAGATGGTCATGTGCATGATTAAGCGGTATAAATGTGGAAGTCGGTCAATGACCTCTCTGCACTCGTATCCCTAATCGAGCTCTCGTATTTCGTAACGTCTCGCAAAACTCTTGAGATTTCGCTTTCAGTACACGCGTGTTTCTTCTGTGAATTCCACAACGGATTCTTTCGTTCTGTTGCAGAGCACGTCTGTTCGCTCTCTGGGGAATATCTCGTCGCATAAAAAAAGCATCGTCGCCATTATAGAAGTTGTCGACACGAGTCGTAAATTCCTGATCTTTTTTAGATGTGGACGATCAGAGTCGGGCCTCTTCCCGACACGATGGCGGGTGACTCATCCCAATCCATAACGTATTCTGCTCGCATGAGACGCGTGCGTCTATTCTAGACGTTCGCTCAGTAATCGCTCGTTAGTCTCGCACCTTGGTTTATTAACTTATCAATACTATTGTTTTGATAAACGCCCAAGACGCAATTTTAGCTGACTCATCGTATTGTACTAGCTAATATGCCCACATAATTGTCTGCCTGTAAGCCGATTGGTCGTCTTGTGCAAGCCTGACGGGCTCTAACAATAAAGCTAATTTGACTAATAGGTGCGTTGTAATCGTCACCGCGTGTGGTTTAAGGATTACAAGATTATCGTGCCGACTTTCTTCGCCGCTCCTTAGATCACTTCTTAATGAACGTTGCATTGATCGCTATACTATTGTTCTAGTTTTTGTTTCTTCATTCGTTATGTAATCTTTGTATGTGGCTTCTAAAGGAATTTTTGTTTTAAGTGTGTCGACATTTTCTTCGCTTGCGGCGCATCTTGTAAGGGTATTCTCAAATTGTTGTCCGCGTAGAGTGTTGCGGCTGGTGCGATCATTAATTTATTATTCCGCGCGTGAACGCACCGTCGGTTCAATTTTTTTTGGAAATTATTTAATGTTTGCGAAATTCGCATTAAATGATCGGTTCTGCCCTGTAATTAACATCATTCCGAACGACCACCCGGGCGCAAGATGGATGGACCCACAGTCGGTCCAACATAAGGCCAATATTTGCAAAACGCCTTTCCAGCGTCTTCCACCTGGAAAGAAATGAAGAAATTTGTCCTGCATCTACCTGAAGAAGTAGTTATAATTTAAGTGAATTTTCCATGGTCCATCAAAAATTTTACAGCCTTATTCGGTAATGTATCACACTGTGTCTCCTGTGAGAAAGTCATTTAGTTCTTGTACAGTCGGTTAAAAAAATATTGCAAACATAGTTATTTATTCCTAAGCTTTAGTTACTAAGATTGGATATTTGGCAGTAGAGCTGTTGTGGGGCGGTACGGCGCATAAGCTTATGCGCGTATTATTTTAGGAGTTACGCTCAGCCACACCGTGCACTATTACGGCAGACCTGCGCCCGCGCCGTTCTGTTGCATAATTCAGACACGAGCCCCGCCGTTTGCATTCCGATACTTGATATGTGCTTTCACATGTATTTATGGACAAGATTTTGTGTCTCCGTAATGTTTGCCGAATAAATAAATTGTGTTTAAGGCATAAATACAATGGGCGAGTCGGCAGCTCCCCTCGTTACGTCGGTGAATGTAAAGTCCGAGTTAGCTTCTTGGGTTGTCGGCATGTCAACCGTTGAGATATTTCGCGAGCTCGACTTGATGCTGCTGCTTATTTCGTTGTTTAGGAGCTTCGTTACATTGCCTGTTTATGTCCGCGCTTACAAATTGGCGTTTCGAGATGCTCTGCAGAGCATCACGAGTATTCACTAAAATTATGGTGTTGTGCTAACATTGTTGTTAGTCATACACCGCCGGGCGAAGCGCATTGGAATCAATCTGTTTAAAGTTATCGTTATAGTGAGATCTCAAAGAGTCATTTTGACTGAGTAATCGAGTTATATAGAGCCTAGAGTTAGTGCATTCCAAAATTTTTGCATTTACCCTGTGTTGCGTTATAGGATTCCGCTCACATCTCACTTACCGCAATCCTAATGATTTGCAGCGGAGGTCTTCTTTTGTATGCGCTGGAGGTGACGTGTTCGTATGCAAGGTGCGACGCCATTATCCCGTGCCCATCGTCTCCACTGGCTTCCGCGACCGGCCGTCCTGATTGCTCTAATTGAAATTTATTCATGCTCCTCTGGGACGCGGCCCGATTACCCAATGCCGGTTTTAATTCGATTACATTAATGAATAGGGCTGCGATTGTTCAGGGTTGTTTAGTTATGTATGCGCTTGAGTTTATGCGATCTCGTTTACTGGATTGACGCGGGACGCGCCTCATCCATTATAGATTTAGCCGGGAGTGTATCGTCCGGCTCGATATGGTCGACGTCTGTGTCATTTCGATAATTGGGCCCGCGATTATCCAGTTGTGCAATTTACAAACATCTGCGATAGATCCGCTGATTGACGGCGAGATACTTGCGTCATTAGGATTTAATCTCGTTCCAATTAAGCGTTTTGTTTGCAGTCAAGCATGTTGGCTAGTTATAGATATGGTTAAACATAGTGTACATATCGATAACATGCTTTATCACGAATATTAAATGTTATTTTTTAATGGCTATAAATATCCTTTGAATCTAATGCAATCAATAGCTTTGCCAAAGTCACTCATGAGAATGCTATGATCAGTTTATGGAGTTGTCTAATAAAACCTCAGTGATTGGACGTCCATCGCGCTCTGAGCTATTGATTCGGCGAATCCAAGCGGCCCACTTCCTAAAACTAGACTGGGAGACGCACATGGTTAAAATTAGGTCCGCCGAGAATAGCGTAAACTGCGGCCGCGTCACACCGACCCGCCTCGATATTGTGTTACAGTACATCGTGGCTAAATTAACTGCGCATTATGGTGTTGCATTATTCATGAAAAATTTTTTGCCACTAGACACAACTTCCGAAATAAAAACTGGAACTGTTAGGGATGAAATGCATAATGATCCAACAACAAACGCAATCCCAATCATGTTCCTTTGTAATAACTCTAATAGAACAACAATGAATAGAATTTATATTGCAGCAAAGAACAGGTCATAGTTTACGTTATCTGTAGAACATGACGTGAAATTTTTAACATTATTGTCAGGAAACTCAAACAATGTTTCCTTCTGTTATTGAAAGAGTACAAGTTATCGGTCATGCTTTTGTATCGCCATCTCTGTGCGCCGTTTCGGATGTATAACTGTATGCTTTTGTATCGGAGGTTTGGTTTACACTTCTGCTTCGATAAGCGATGCGGTGGCCAGTTAGCTCGGGGAGCGGGTTTTGGTTGCGTCTCGTACCGAACTTTCCGTATCCATAAATTCAAACTAGCGTCCTAGGTGAAGCTCGACCGTTACCGCGTGGGAAATGATTGGGCTCCGGCCCTGGTCGGTGAGCCTTTGTTAGGACGATTGTCCACTGGAGCGGTGTAGATGCGCCGATAGGCTGTGTATAGTGGAGCTACGCCAGCGGTGACAGCTACGTGGGAACCCTGAGCGGGATTGTGTGTAAACACCACGCTCATTTGGATGATAGTGTCATCTTTGTACTTCCAATATAAAACCGAAGCCTTTGTTCTATCATTGTCATTTTCTAGATGCATTATGTTAATGTATTCCTTAGTTTACCGTACATATATCAAGCCGCCGGCAGCTGGGTCGAATTTTGTCTAAAAATTACTACGGATAGGAACAGTGCACCTGCATAAGGTAATAGAATTCCATTTGCCAGACGCGTATGGTGCTAGTAGTAATGTTACGTCTTGAATATCCCCTATGTGTTGTAACTCGTTTTCCCAACACATATGAAGAACAAGACCCGTGGAAATGGACATCGTCGTTATAATGTATTCCACACGCGTCCGGCACTAACTCGACAGCTATTCAGTTTTGAAAACAAATCCTTAGCTTTTGTGACCGCGCCAATCCATCATTCGAGTTTTTCTATTCACCAATAGTATCAGCGAGCTTAACGCAAACAAAAGCTTTCAAATGGAAATGTAGAGTACGTGCCGGGGATTAGTTCCGCGGGCGGTCAAATTTTACGTGGGAAATGTTGTTAACACGAGCGTTAGCCGGTGGATTGGTTTTTGTACATTAACCTTATAAGGCCACCTACATAAACGGTGATATAATCGCCCGATCTGTGTGTTGGCTCATGGTTGCATATCGGGGCGCGTGGGCGGCGGCGTCCTTCCGCGGCGAGCGCCGATCGTCTAATGTGCGTGCGTTTGTTACACATAGAAGCGCGTGCGCAGCCTCGCTGCTCGTACTCCCGCGCATGATTTATGTATGACCGGTATTCCTCGTGTTGTCGGTTCATTTAACTAGATATATTCCGGAATTATTGTGTTCGCAACACAGCTCTCGTACGGTGCGAAGCGTGATGGGAATCTAAAGTCGGCCGTAATGATACATCGCTCCTCATCTGCGTACATATCATATATCAACCGTTCGTTCTCTTAATTCGCAATCGATGCCCGTCACCGTCTACTTAATCAGCCCCAGTTACCGAAATTGCCTTCATTAACAACGCGCGAGCCTTTCTTTTGAAAAAAAAAACTGTATCACAGAAACCAGTTTCCTTTTTTTCTCTACAAAATAATCGCATCGCTTTAGTCGGAAATTTTTTGGAAAGGTCCAAATTAGCACCACCGGTTACTTAAGGAAAGTAAATTGACTGAGATCGGTGGTTTAGGTCGATCGGGGTAATTTGTCTCTAGGCTTTCATTGTGACAGGACCATAGTTGTTGCGGAATGAATTCATTCGGCATGGGGCTTAATTGGAGGTGCATGGTTATAATTATTGGATGGACATGAAGAAGGGAACCGGAGGTGGATTCTCCGCATTCTGGCACGTTGCAGGTCAATCGCGGCATCTATCGACTACTGGCTCGTAAACTGGCCGTGCAAGAAGATAGAATTAATAGCTCATGAAGATTTTGTGATCAATATAATATGCATTGTATAAACAAAGACAACTCATAATATGTATAGCGATAAAGCTGGTTGTAGTGTAATAGTCAGAAACAAGTTCGAAACATTTATTGCACTTGGGAGAAATCTTTTGGAATACTTTTTAATCTAGCAGGACTGCAATGTCTTTTTTTCGGTTTTCTAGTTCGTTATTCGGTCACAATAGAACGTATCTACGTCTCTATACATACGCAGAAAATATCACGCACTTTCTGGGTCACTCTTGTAGATACAATATTATCTGTATAGAAAATTTAAATTAAAAGTGGTTCATTTGCACCCGCTTTTAAATGCGCATTTTATTTTAATTGTGTTAGATTCACCTTTGACGACGACTGCCAGCATTGAATTTTATTGCTGTGTTTGAGCGTTTCTCCTATTCCGTACAGTTTTGGCTACGGCATGCACTTTGATTTCAACACAAAATATTTTGAAATTATCAGAAACAATTTTTTTAAACAAGCTTACATTTTATCCTGCTTCATAAAATATAATATACCATTTCACATTTCTACACAATGCCACCGTAGATACTATCTGTTTCTTTCTCACCGGCCGCCGCGTCTAGATCGATATTACCGAACATGTTTTCCTTCAACACAATATTCTTTTATGTCTCGGTAACTGTATCGATTTAAAATCGATAGTCGCCTGCCTCAGATCCATCGATAACTTGCCAATTCATTTAAACCATATTAATTTCAAAGTAATTTACCCTACCTACCATATTTATAATAATATTTTATACGAGCATTCACGGCAAAACGTGACTCGAATATTGTAATTTTTGCAATAACAACTTACACAAAGTAATGACCATATTTTTCTGAATGAAAGGTGCACGTGTAGCAATATAAACTTGTAAGATACTTCCAATCGCCGCTTGCATCACATTCAGATCCGAAAGTAGTCGTAAACTGAGGAGCCTTGGTAATGTAGTATCGAGTTTTGTGATCTGTGACATTGCGGAATTGTTCGAACGTTTGTTCCGTTTGTGCTAATGCCTATTTACGAATGCTAGACAAAGACACAGAGGCTGTAAGCTGACGCTCTCACTTCCGCCCGCCCACGTTATGAAGCGCCTCCTACGCGAGGTCACTTTTAAAAATCGCAAGCTGGTGGTCTTGCATCGGCAATTGTTGCGACTGTTATTTTTCTTTAAAAAAATGTTACCGCTGTAGACCACGCTTGAGGTTATTTGATTTTTATGTGTACTAAGGTTTCTTTTAAGGTTAACCGTGACAACAATGACATCAGTCCGTAGGTGGCGCGTGCGATAAAATGTGTTCGCGGACACTCTGCGTTGCTCAAGCTTTCGAAATAACCATCCACTTTAATTTATAACTTAATTCTGAGCGTCTTTCTTTTGTGTTTTTGTACGATGTACTTTGTACCGTATTTTATTGTAACGGTAACTATAATTCAATTTCGTTAACTTTCTACAATTGCTTGAATTCGTTTCCTTGGAGTTTTAAGTTATCTGTATTACATTGAATTGACCGACATTAGTATATCCTCGGTAATCGGGAGAAAGAGTCGCTATATTAAAAAGCACTGACAAAGTTAGTATCGGGGAAGAGACATACGTAGGTAGCGAATCAGCAAACATAAACAAACAAATACTGTAAGACAGGACGTGACTCGGTTTTACCAAATGAAACGAGACGCGAGGCTTAGAATAATAAAAGTTTACGTTCGCTATGTAAATTTTGTTAATAATTGTCGCGTTTTTTTATTACTTGTAAGTTTATACTCTAAATGCATTTTACTCAATCGATTCTCAGGCCATTAAACAAGTGCCATCGTCTGTATAGTTTATAAGTACAACGAGGTTTATATCGGGATGCATCGACTAGATATTAGGGTTTTCTACACCAACCTCATCCTTTTCCATATCTCCATTAGATCATCTGTATCCCCAAATTGGTGCTATTGTAGTGACGTTGGACAAATGCTATTAGGTGATCTCTATTTCTTTAAATTTGTTCTTAATATTATAGATTCTTAATATATGTATTATTATACTATAGTTATTATAGTAGTAATGGCAATTCGAGGGACCAAGTCCAGACAACATATTGATACCTGTATCGAAGTAACGTAACATTCCCAGTTTGCGCTTAGTGCCCGTAACATGTTTGTGATCCATCCAACTTAATGAGTATTTAGACTTAAGGCATGATGTTGTGTGTTTATTGGACGATTGATACGTGATTTACTATTGACCGACACTTTATTGAACGCTATTTTGATTTTGGATCAAATTATTTTTTGTAAAGATATAAGTATATTTTCGTAATGTTAATAAAAAAAGTGTAGATAGCGTTCAATAAAGTTTCAGTCGATTCCCTAGTTCAATTTTACTAGTAACCAAATCATAAAAGCTTCTTAGTAATAAATAGGATATATTGTTTTAAACTTTCATGATCAATAACTTTATAGTAATTTATGTTATTTACGGGATTGTTACCACGTACCTTATTTTAAGCGAGTTTCCGATATTTTGGCACTGCTGCAAGCGCCATGATCACGGAATAATTAATTGCGGGTAGGCTGTTAACTCGCTAAAAACAAGGTACATGGTTACAATCCCGTAAATATTAAAAATTACTATATTGATAGGATTGTCTTGTTAGGATTACTAGTAAAATTGCATGAGGATATTTTACATTGAAACATAATAATAAATTAATATTTTAGAAGTTAAGTAAAGAAAGATGTATCTTAACACGGAAGGGTGATACCAGCAAAGAAGATTTTGTGAAACAGTGTCCTTTAGTGCCTTATGAACATTGAAAGTGTGATTACGATGATTGTACTTAAAAATTCAAAAATGACTGTTTAAATTCAGTATTATATATTAAGACCCGTATTGTATGACGTTCAATATATTGAACTCGAAGAGAATTTTTTCAATCTTATGCCTCTTTTAAAGTCCATGACGCTATGTTACTCTTTAGAACTGTCTGTGTGTATAAAAAGGAGGCTAAAATCTCAAGTCCTTAAGTTAACCAGTCACTAGTCTCCGCAATTTGCGAAGATCTCACCATGTCATAAAAATACGAGCAATACTTTAAACAACCTAGAATCAATTTGAAACTAAATCTTGTTTGATGTGTTCAAGCAATGACAATGTTGATGTCATAAATGTCGCACTCGGCTTCTGTGCGCCGCCGACATAAACGTCTGAAACAAGTATAAAAAGCCGAAAACATATATTTAAATACGAAATTAAGTTTTTCGACGGGCTTTCATTGCTTTTTGAGGCGATTATACATGGTCGGCTGATAAATGTGCGACGTGCAATAATTCAATTCTCGTTTAAAAGCTTTGCATGTTAAGGCATGTACACATACGGGTACCTACATTTTGTAGTGGCTGCATACTCATCAAATTTATGGCAACCATTAAAATGTATCATAATATTAATACGATTTGTGTTTCGTGTGTGTACAAGCTTCAATATAATTAGTAGTTATAGCGAACTGAAATGATGTTGTCGAGGAAACGTCAAAACTCAATTTAAAAATTTGCTTCCTAGACTGTTGTGAAATTATTTTTGGAATCTATTGTAATGGTTGTGATATAACCGAATGTTGAATACTTATAGAAGATTTCGAATTTGTTAAAATAGAGTTAACAGGTTTTACTCAAACGTCATTTATTTGAGATCATTGTTGAATCGCTGCCTCTGAGGTGACTTAATGACAATGTGATAGAAACAATACCTAAAGACGCTAGATCATTGTTACTGTAAATTACATTCTCTGTAAATATGTACAATAAAATAACGAAGTTAGCGATAATAATTTTAATACTAGATGCAATGTTGTACAAGTTTTTTCTATTTAAATATTTTTGAAAGATTTAATCTACACTATTTTTAATAATGACTTATTATTTTATCGTTTCGAATAATTTATATTATGTGTTTGTACAATGTCGTAGTTGAATTCGGAGAAGACATTAAAAAAATTATAAAAAATAAAACGTTGAAAAATGTTTGAGATTTTGTATTGTATTTTGAATACAAAATACACCTACCCTGCCATCTGCTATCGGACTTCCTGGAAAGCGGTCCGTGCGCTGTCCTATGTCGAAAGTTGAAGTTCCAACGTTATCCTGTTTCCATGGAGTATTTTATGTAAGTATAAAGCACCAGTATATTCTAAAGTAATTGGGACTTGAACTGAGACATCTTCCCATGATTGTTACTAGGGGCGACGACCAAAGGGCCCTAGCTAATATTCGTCACTTTTCCTTCGACATTCGGCACATGTCTTTAAGGCCTGAAGCCATGTGCTCGCATTCGATGGAATCGGGTCGTATTTTAGCTCGGTCGTCGCCAACCGGACCGCGAGGATCGTTCTCCCGGCTCGCACAATCATATTTATTTTATTACAAACATTGTCGTAAAACATCCAATTTGACGTTTTTAATTACTTTACGATATTAATATCGACATTTTCGTGGGGTGTGTCCGATAGTGTTTGGTTGTTATCGATGACTGAAACCGATCGTTCGGGGAAGCATCTTAGTGCGTTTTGCAATGATGCATCCTCGATGCGGCCGGTTAATAGTTTTTAAAATGCCTCGATGCCAAAAGTCGCCGCTGTGCCCATAATTACTTTCCTCAGACGGACGTGAACATTACAATCGTAAACATGGTATAATTGCGCAATGATCCTCCCCGTGTTTCTCATGGGTGCAGCTTTCTTTTGGCTTCGATTATCGTCGGATCTATAATATAAGATTGGCCAATCGTTCCGCGTGTGAATACTCAAGAGAAGAATCCAGAAACTCGAGATAGAAATTCTTCGAAAGGTATGTGCCCTTTTTATTTATCTTAATCAGTTTGATATTTTAACCACTAATTATTTTAACTTTTATTGTTGTGTGTATTGAGTGTGCTTTTCAGGTTTGTCGCGTACAGGTATCAATACTACGTCAAAACATTTTTTTTTATTACAGGTTATAAGGCACACTAATAGTGAATAATTTAGGTCGAAACATCGTCGGGCAAAATAATGGACTTATAAATAATGTGCCTGCAAATAGTATATTCGGTTAGCGTAAATAATTGTTAAATACATCATGATTATGTATGTGTTGCCTGAACGCCTATTAAGATAGATACCATATATAGACGGTTAAATTCGTTCATTCGCACATCCGCTCACTTCAGACTGGAATACATAAATAAGCATCATAATAATCTTTTTGGATGGACCGCTCTTTGTAGTTAGTTTTCACATTAAAAGTAATAATGTTACGAAGCTTTATTTTTCCACTTTCATTAAATCATAAATTAATGTCGACACGAGTATCAGCGAGGGGTCAGAACTTAATGTTCTCGTTTAAAATATTGTGACGTTTTGTGAATAATATTTGCTACGTGAAGCGGTTGTTACATTATGGTGACCATTATATCGAGAGCTTTGTGGTATTACGGGAATGTTCTCTTTATTAACAGCCGCTAACCGGCGTGAGGGGGTGGGAATGTCTTATTATGTTAGTTCGATAATTTCTCTCGATGATGGTCGTTTCAATGGCGCGGATTTATAGCTCAACGTGAGGTAGTAGTTCATCTGTTTACGGACTTTATTGGACCGTCAATCTGGTTGTCCTAATGCTTATAATATGGAGATGAAACAGTCATACAATGGAGGCACTGAGTTTGTATGCGGGTATTAATTTCAGTTAGAAAGTCTGGTGTGGTGATATGTTCACGATCTGATTGTTTTATGCGGAAGTTAGGGTTTGGGGACAAGCGGCTTGTGTGTGGCTGATTTGGGCACGTATCTGAATACGTGAAACTTGACATTTCAGGAATAAGAATAATTCAAAAGGCACTTATTTTTTTTAAACTAAGATGCAATTAAATTAATTAATCCTTTGGCTTATACTTTAAACTAGTATAGTTGTAGATTTTTCTATTATTATCTTTTCTTATATAACTTAGTATCTTTATCACTTCCTTATCAGTAAAATACAAATAAATTCAACTATTATTATTACTATTATTTCACTGTTTCAAGAAATATAACGATTATATAATTCTCATTTCTCATCTTAGCTCTCCCGCTCCTTGATTTAGCCTAACATACCAACTAGTGGTTTAATTATTTAAAAAAAAAACATTTACAGTACTTATGTATGCCAGGCCAATACGACCTATTTTTAGGGGCCCGTACCCAAAGGGTAAAAACGAAACCCTATTCTTGTCACTCGGTCTCGTCTGTCCGTCCGTGTGTTAACGGAATGAGTTAGAGAACTGAGATTTTGGTATTATATGTAAAAAGTTTGCCCAAAGCCGAATATTTAGTTAAAAATACAATTAAATTATTTTTCGTGGTTCTCGTACATGGAGGAAGTATTTTTTTCTTTTTTACCCCAGCATGTTGTTACATCATTGTCAATGGCTCGTTGAGTAGGATAAAAAATTGGCATATTTAGATCATTTTTGTAACGGGTTGTATCTTAAAATCGAAACTTGATAAGCATGTAAAATTTTGGTATATGTATTAAAACAACAAAGGCTGTAAACACCAATTCATTACGCCATTAGTTATTTATGCAATTGTTGTATTATGATGATGAGTTAAAACACAAATTTGGGTTTATCACACGAGGCGGAGCAGACTGTGATAATAGCATCACATGAATGTTTTAATATCTCATCATTAACAGTTGCTTATCAGAGTTCATCTACACCCAAGATACGAATCTTCTATATATGTCTACCTTTACCTTTGATATTTTTCAACCTACGCCTTTTCATGCCGTTTTCTTGCAGTAATTGGTAGGAAATGCCATTTTCTGCATTAAAAATATTTGGTGGTAAGTTATCAAAATTTCAATTTCTCATTTTTATTATTAACTCAACTATAAATTTGCAAAACTAATATCGAAGAAAAATGGCGAGAATTCGAATAACCTATATTTTTTTTATTACGGCGCTGTCGTAGTGAAAAGCGCGGTAATGACAATGATCTTTTTTTAATTCATACAGATGCCTCGCATTGATCAGTAAGAATGTGGCTGTCTGATGGACACATCCTTTTCGCGGAAGGGATCGAAAAAGCTGGAAAAGGAGTGATTATTATGAAAATTTGTAAAAGATTATAATCATCATCCATTTGGATGATATTATGGTTATTAGGTCATTAGTTGTTTTAATGTTGGCAATAAGCTAACTGTTTTAGAATCTTTTATAGGGCATTGAAAACATGGGAGTACAAATAATAGAGCGAAGCCAAACTCGTGCTTTGTCAGTTTTTTATTTCTACTGTCTGTTATCTTATCACAAATTTGACCCCTTTTTCAGCCCAGTCTGGACTCTTGCAATATTAGTTCAACTATTTATATAAATAATGAAACAAATGGAAATAATTGAGTTATGTTTTATTATAATATATATTATTATGTTTTATTATAATATATATTATTATGTTTATACATCTTCACAATATATTGTGAAGATGTATAAACACGCATATCTACTAAATAATTTGAAAAATTCGCCAGCATTTTCACGCTTTCACTGGTACAGATTAAAATTTACAATTCCAAAGATTTGAAGAAATAAATAAATATGTTTTGCATTGCAACTGTACAGACCATATATTAATAAAATACAATTTCATAGATTTGAAATAATACATATGTATTCAAATGCGTGTGGTAATTGTTGTTCTTAAAAATTTCCACTTTTCACACGTAAATATATTTAAATTTAATAGCGTGCTGCTTGGTGGATGAATTCATCGTAGTCTCCTTTATATCGTGACGGTGATGCCTAATGTATCATAAGATAGTGTAATGGAAATAAATGTATGAAATATTTGCGTCATCCCGTCTGATGGCGGCTACGCTACTATGTGCGGCGGAGATATATGCGCGCTCGCATAATATGTCCGTTGTTGTAAGCTGCAAACATTCGGATGTTCGTGACAAATGGTAGTCTGTTTATTGCAATTTACATCGCTATTCGCCCGCGAATATTCATGACAGTAGAAATGCTTGAATTAGTATATAAGCCGCGAGTGTTTTTTTTGTTAATTGATTTTTTCTTTGTCTTTGTACGGGTTTTGACATGCGGAGAATTTTCACACTGCTATAATGCTAAACTATTAGTGGTAACTAAGTATTTAAAACATCTGGTTTACTCATTTCATTAAAGTTATTCTCATTAAATTAATATTCATTGTTTTCCATGTTTAGTCTAGATTCCTGAATGAATTCAGAAGCGGTCGTTGTTAAGTGAATATTAACTTTTTCTCGAATATATTTTTAAAGATCGAACGGTAAATGCAATCTGCAAAGGTTTTCTGTAAAAGAGTATACATCTCTTATCTAATAGACAAGTCCGTCCGTCCGTGGTGCTGTTTCAGCGGCCAACCGTAAGAGATAGATAAAGAGAATGTTTAAGTTATAAGTTAAGAATAGTCTGATAAGACTACAAACCGGATTTGAGTAACGTAGCACTTCCGGTTTTCGAGAAATCACGTGATTTCTATTTCAAACGAAACCACACAAAATCTCCGAAGTTCTCAATTAATTAAATACATTTTTTTTTTGGTGAACATTTGGTTCACTGGTTTGCTAGTATTTAATAATTCTATGCGTGTAAATCAAATAATAGTATGCGTCATGTTGTTTTAATAATCTAATGAATTTTATGGCATAATTATAATAAAAGATATAACTTTTTGCACACCTCTGCACTCCATATAAACTTGAACATACTCACCTTTCTGTACGAAAAATGTGCTTAAAAATGGTACAATTTTTTCATATTCGTATTAATATATTGATAAAATAAAAACAAGCCTGAGCTTAGCGACAATGTAACTGCACTCTTTGATGATATTATAAGCGAGCGTATCTAATAAACATAGTGACCTATCCAACGCCGATAATTTCAGACTTAACCCTCGGATGTTAACGCAATATTAATGCAAATTGCCGCCAAGCGGCCGGTGCTGTTAT